CTTGATTTCGTTACAGAATCATTGATTTCGTAACGAAATCACTTTGTAGACTTGATTTCGTAACGAAATCAGTCATGCGACACTTGGCGCCCCACACGCCAAGTGTAGCATGATTTCGTAACGAAATCACTTTGTAGACTTGATTTCGTAACGAAATCAGTCATGCGACACTTGGCGCCCCACACGCCAAGTGTAGCATGATTTCGTAACGAAATCACTCGATTGCAGTAGCTGATTTCGTCACGAAATCACTCGCAGTAGTTGATTTCGTAACGAAATTACTTTGTAGACTTGATTTTGTAACGAAATCACTTTGTAGACTTGATTTTGTAACGAAATCACTTTGTAGACTTGATTTCGTTACGAAATCAATGATTTCGTAACGAAATCAGTCATGCGACACTTGGCGCCCCACACGCCAAGTGTAGCATGATTTCGTAACGAAATCAGTCATGCGACACTTGGCGCCCCACACGCCAAGTGTAGCATGATTTCGTAACGAAATCGCATGATTTCGTAACGAAATCATTCGATTGCAGTAGCTGATTTCGTAACGAAATCATTCGATTGCAGTAGCTGATTTCGTAACGAAATCATTCGATTGCAGTAGCTGATTTCGTAACGAAATCAGTCATGCGACATTTGGCGCGCCGGCGCGCCAAGTGTCGCATGATTTCGTAACGAAATAACTCGCAGTAGCTGATTTCGTCACGAAATGACTCGCAGTAGCTGATTTCGTCACGAAATGACTCGCAGTAGCTGATTTCGTCACGAAATCACTCTCAGTAGTTGATTTCGTTACGAAATCAATGATTTCGTAACGAAATCAGTCATGCGACACTTGGCGCCCCATAGCTATCGTGCTATACGCAGCCGCAGAGCCGTTTACACTTCGGTTACTCGCTCGTTCAAAGGGACGATTAATCGAGCTCCGTTTTTGGAGCGATTCCTAAAGGGCCGGACACACTAGGCGATTTAATCGAGCAACTTTATCGACCGATAATATCGCCCGATTCTATCGTGCGAGTCGAGTGGATTTTTGACGGCGAGTAGGACCGGACACACTAGGCGATTTTACACGTGTGTGCATGAGTGTGTTGGTGCGTACGTGCGTGTGTGTACAGGTGCACGTGCGTGCGTGCATGCATGTGCACGTAAACGTGCGTGCATGTGCACGTACACCTGCGTGCATGCATGCGTGCGTGCGTGTGTATGTAAACGTGCGTGTGTATGTAAACGTGCGTGCATGCGTGCGTGTGTGCGTACGTGTGCACGTATACGTGCGTGTGCAAGTACACGTGCGTTCGTGCGTGCGTGTGCATTTACACGTGCGTGTGCATTTACACGTGCGTACATGCGTGCGTGTGCACGTACACGTGCGCGCGTGCGTGTGTGCGTGTGAACGTACACGTGCGTGCCTGCGTGCGTGTGTGAGTGGGTGCGTGTTTACGTACACGTGCGTGCGTGCGTGCATGCGTGTGTGTGCAGGTACACGTGATGGTGAGTGCATGCGTGTGCACGTATACGTGCGTGCGAGCGTGCGTATGCACATGTGCATATGCGTGTGCAGGTACACGTTCGTGCGTGCGTGCGTGCATCGCTATTACATGACATCAATTTGATATGACATATACTAAACATGAAACATCGCTATTACGTCAGTATCATTGAACAACTCTGATTGGCTGATGAATTGTACAATCGGGCGACTAAATCGCCAACCTGGACACACTAGGCGATTTTATCGGGCGACTGAAATAATCGCCCGATAATATCAAAACGTTTTGAGCTATGCGATTAAATCGGGCGACTAAATCGGCGGCGATTGAGTGGACACACTAGGTGATTTCACCGGCGATTTAGTCGCTTGATTTAGTCGCCCAATTTAATCGCATAGTGTGTCCGGCCCTTAACACTAGCTACTTATCCAGGTGTTCACATTTTGAAAACAATGTCATGACTTGCAGCAATGGTACATTCCAACTGCAAGTCATTTGCATCTCGTGGCTTCTGCATTTCAAGCTGTATACCCTATATTTAACTTGTGGGAAAAAAATTTTATTCCTGCCTACCCATGTTTTTGAAGGAAAAAAAAAGAAAAAAGAATGTTATACCTACCTACCTACCCTAATTTTCACAACCCATGTGACCCGAACCAAAGGTTTTTTTTTGTTTGGCCTTAGGTTATCTCTACTTTATTGACTTATCATCAATGCACGAAGGGCGATGCCATCTTTGATTATTGATTACACTTGCACGCGCCATCTCGCGACAACTATAGGCCTAGTGATACATTATGACACGAATATATAAGACAGTCGAGCAGGTATGAAGTAGGATGCATTGTTAGGGTTTAGTTTTAGTGTTAATACCTATGCTACACCGTTTTGATGATGACGTAGCCGGTTTAGCGATAGAACAGGCTTTCAATCTTTTGCAGAAACGAAGGCCAGTACAGTAGAGCAGCAGACCTCAGATGAGCACTGTTGCTAATGCGGCACTTGTTAGGCATACTCGTAGTATTTCAGTATTTCATTGCTATCAGTGGAATTCTACTTGTTTGACAGGAATTGCTGGAACATGATTTACTTCTAAGTTAACACTAGTCAGGAAATTGGTAAATATTGTTGATATAAAGGCAGGATAGACAAAATTTTGAATAGGCCAAGTGGACTGATTATATGGGGGGTTGAACCGGCAGTTTAGGGGGGTTGAGCCGGCGGCCGCCGGCAAAATAGCGCTAATTTTGCGCGCTGTGTTTCAGAGTCTCACTTTACTGGAGAGCAGTGTGTTTGTGATGTAATATTAAACCCCCAGTTTTAACTCACTTTTTATTAGGCCAACATTGTCTAATCGGAAATTATGATCTTGCGCTATGCTGCAAGTGTTTCTGGGGTTAGCTTCCTAGACTGTCTCAATTCATCGAAGAGAACTTCATGTCCAGCTTGTAGCGTGAAGTGGTAAAGGATCAATGCAGATCCTCAACATTTTAGTCAACTTTTTACAACTGTTATTTGGATAACCAATTCTATCTGTTCCTGGACAGGGATAGGGACACTGGAACCATTGTTTAGAAATCTATGGTGCCATATTTTTCTCTTCATCTTGACAAAAGGGAAAAGCCATGGGGGGAGATATATCGATGTACATGAAATTTCACCTCGCCTAGGTCAGTTATGTCCATAGCTCTCGCTCTCTCTGGGACTCTCGCTATGCTCGCAGCATTATTATCCAGTGCTGTCCAACAGCAAGTTAATAGCTACGCTAATATCTATTCAGATATGTTCAGTTATTGTACTTTGTACCTAAGCAGATCACTATAAGCAAGATCACCGTAATCACTCAAGATCACTGTAACGGTGTAACCAATAAAGTATATGTTATCGATTGAAGGCAATCTGCTTCATAGAATTTTTAAGAAACGGTAGTTACAGAGGAGCTACATTCCCTATGGAAATATGAGTAGTGGCAGGAGTGGATAATATAGATCTCTATTATCCACTCCTGGTAGTGTTTATATTATGCCATACAATGCCATATAATGTTAGGAAATTAGCGACGACACTGCATGAGTCTATCCTGGTTCTTTTGGTCCAGGAGAATGAATGCATCTCAAAGTGAAGAGCAGCTCATGCTCTTTTTAACGTTACGTAAAATTTGGTGTCAACTGGTTGTTACAAATACAAGGCAAGACATTTCCGTGCAGTACATCATACCTGAAAATATTCCATATTATATAGTATAATATTACGATTGTATCATGGTAAAAGACCGCGTTTGCCATCTGTTTGCAATAGATATGACTTGTTTCTTTTCATCAGGCTATTCCTTTATACGTGAAATCAAGTTTTTTTTTTTGTATAGGTCACATGGCTGAGCAGTATTCCGCTGGACATGACAAAAAACCAACACAGAAGATCACGCAACTGTTGCGCACTGAACAGGTAATAGGCGATTGCTAGTATCACGTAACCTGCAGTGCACATTTATAAATTGTGAATGACAGTCAAAACTGGATTGTCAAAAATTTAGTTCTTTGAAATAAATATACATCAGTTAATTTCATCTCACTTTATATTCAATATCTCTCCATATATACGTGTGTGTGTGCGTTCGTGATTGCTTGTGTATATCACGAGAAGCCATGTTGTGCCGTGACTGATGTCTTAAGCAAATAATGTTTGCGCTTACAATTTTCTGCCATTTCAATAGTGACAGTTTGCTTTTCTGATTCACATTTTCCTTACTACCTTGGTCACAGTGTAGGGTTGTATATGGCTACCTGTTTAATTTGTGTATTATTGTTACTCACAGGGCAGGGACAGGATATTCCACTCTGTGTTTGTTCATAGGGATCATAGGAAGAAAAAAGCTACTTCATACTTGGGAACCAGCCAGGAATTGATTGATTTTGATGTGGAGTGGCCTGTTAAGCAGGATTTAGCAGAGTATGACAGAGGTAAGGGAAAAAAACTCAATCATAGCGATTCATGTTGATTGTGAAGAAATGCCGCAGTCTTCCTTGATCTCATCATGTTATCACACATTCTTGATAGAAAATAAACGTTTAACATCGGAGGGATACATTTTTTACCGCGAATATTGCGTAATTGTATGGCATGGCGATGTGGGTTGTTATGGAAATGGAAAGCGGCAATGAGGTGATAAGGAGGAATGTCATGCGAGTGATGGTGGCCTTGAGTTCTTGAGGGCTGTTGTTTTGCATGGTATAGATCTCCCATTTGCGGTTTCTAATGGAGGTGACAGCCATAGGTAGTCATTAGCAATCATAAAAACGTAATAAATCAGGAAAGCGGGCGATCAGAAAGGACGAGGACCAAGGGGTGTGCATCATCAACATGCTGAAGATAAGCCGAAGGTCGCTGGTTAATTGGGGTGCTGCGCCTCCTACTGGGCGAGAGCGAAGGGGAGCCCATGCCCGGGTCAAGGGGAGAATTCCCTTATAAAGGGAGGTGACGAAAGAGACCCGGGGCTGGAGAAGTCTGATCCGACCATTGACCGGCTTCGGGCAGTCCTGGTTTTGGTCGATTATGCAGGTTATACAACAAAAATATCGTATTGTACACGACGCCTTTGACCATCACTGCTTGCCTGTTGACGACATCAATGCGTATTCCTACAGAATACGCAGCACTGGTGTGGGTTGTATGGCTAATCCATGTGCCCTACACCTTAAACTACATTGACCACTCAGCAAGCATATCTCTTTTGAGCTAAGTAGACCACAGAATACGCAGCACTGGTGTGGGTTGTATGGCTTATCCATGTGCCCTACATCTTAAACTACATTGACCACTCAGCAAGCATCTCTTTTGAGCTAAGTAGACCATTATCAGATTGTAACAATTGTTGTTTATTTATTAACACTTATCTACAGAGACCAGTAAGGAAAAACAAGATAGTCTTCACCACCTCACATGGTTGGCGTTACACAGATATACACAGCGGTCTGATGCTCAACCAGATTGTAAGTGTTTTAATTTCCTTAATCTTACTTCATTAAACTCAATAATCAATAAACAAGAATTATATAACTCAAAAATCAATAACATGCGGAACCGATGACTGTTAACATATTGCATGTTTTCTTGGTATGTTGGAGTGACTGCAGCTTTTTGATTTTCCAAATACTTTGGAAACGGATCATAATCGTACAAACTTTGTGATGCATTCTGTTATCAATATCGCTTTGGAAATCACCAACACATTTTGGTCATTACATGTTACAGTGTTTCATTCAGATGGTTTCACAATGTTTGACGAACTCCTGTATTCAACGACTAATCTCAAGGTCGTACGTCCAGAAAGCCTGTGCAAGCTGGACACCATTGCTTTCCTGTACGCCACTGTGTACACCACCTTGGGAAGGTAAGCTGGGTGTCATATTCTCGGGAAAAACTATTGACAATAATGGATGTCTTTGGGAAGAATATTATGTTTTTATTTATTTCGTTAATAATGTAGGTTATCTAATAATTGATGATTAATTGTGTGATTGAGGATTTTATTGATGTCTGTGGTTACTCTTGCATTTTTCTTCTACCAGATTAGAAGAACAGAAACGTACGATTGGTGAAGATTTGGACAGACCATTTCTCCTTCCAGCAATAGTTTCTGAAAGTCTCTGCTCCCCACAGCAGGCCGATTGGTGGAAAGCAGCATACAAACTTGTCAACAATGCTGCTGGGTATTGTTTTGTTTCAAACATACTTTTTGTAGTTAACCTGTTTTTGATAAAGTGACTGATCTCTGCAAACTTTCTTAAGGCAAACAGTTTTCCTGTTGCAAACTTCACCTTCTATCCTTGATATGAAGTGCTGCCTTGAATTGCCAACTGACATAAAGTAACACGTCCCATTATTGCCTGTCTCCTTCATCATGTATTTATGTATGCATTAACAGCGAGGATCTTGCCAGTCTGAGGGTCACCCTTCAGAGGGGCCTTGAGGTGGTACGTGCCACTGGTATTCATGGCCTGTCTGCACAGCTGGTCGTCCAACTTGCCAGGACCTTCCAACACCAGGCCAGTGCAAAGATAAACCCATCCACACCAGAGAGTCAGAGAACACAATTGGCTGCTAGGGCTGTCCACTACTGGAAGGCAGCTCTGAACATTCTGGAAAAACTAAATCAGTAATATCATTATGACAGTAGTATTTAACATTAAAAGGTCCTGTCCACAGTTGTTTTCACTAATTCTGCATGTTTATTGGACCACTGCTGACTGTCATAGGGTACATGGATGAAAGTTCCTATTGACCGTTTTGTCATTGAGACAGAGTTTAATTGGACTTTGTTGGTTTTTAGCTCATCTGACATGGTAAGATGCAGCTTGTAGAATCGCATGATTGTCCGTGCGTGCGTCCGTCCGTCCGTCCGTCCGTCTGTCCGTGCGTTCGTCAACAGTTGGGCAGAAATCTTAACCGCTCGACGTACGGTCACGATATTAGGGGCGTGGGGGGGTAATCCGAAAACGAGTTGGGATGTCGAAGCTGGGGGTCAAAGGTCAAAGGTCAAGAGGTGTAAAAGAAGGGGGAACATTCCCTCCTTAATCTAAACGGCTCGACCTAGGCTTGTGATAGTCGGTGTATAGCATCATGGTAGGAAAAGCC